ATTAAAAAAGTAAAAACTGTGTGGTTGGGGCATGATTGAATAAAATGGGCGGTAGATAAAAATAAAGTTCACATTTTCTTGAATTGATAAAATTACATTATTTGTATTGAGTATTTGAGTCTAAAATGGGCGGGAAAATAAAAGTTACAACATGGAATGATATTAGTCTTTGGACCTGTTTAATTCTTAGGCAAAATAAATGGTGAAATCATTAAAAAAATCTAGACTCTTAATATTAGTTCGGTTCATATAAATTATTTGTGTTCGGCTCTTGTTTAAAAGATACTCGGACAGTCGATGCCACATAAAAATATTCAGCATTTGAAAATTATAAAAAACACAAATACGTTCAATTTTATGACCATTTCAAATCTCTAAAGTTAAGTTTCAAACATGAGTACATAATAAACATAATATTTTGGTGAATAAAACAAAAGTAACGTTCATTACAATCAATAATTATGATATTTAGTTAGCAATGTAGTAGCTAGCAAAAAGGCATCGACCGTTCGAGCATCTAACAAGAGTAACTGGTTAAATATTTATCCATCAAGTTATCAACTCTATTAACTTAACTATATTACTGAATTTAATAAAAATGTGAATAAATATTAAAATATACTATGTATATACTAATAAGTACGAAGTATATATATACATGTTTTAAAAAATACTACTACGTAATAAGTACTACGTACCTCCGTCTCAAAATTGTTTGTCATATGAACTTTACTTGGTGAATGTTGGCAAACTTTGGAGAATAATTTTAGTTATTATATTTGTACTCCGTATATAATTTATATATTTGATACTTTTATGGAAACATTTTGAATAAGAAACATTTTGATATAATTTTCATATTAAAAAAATGTCGTTAGTCAAAGTTAATTGACATTGATAAAGAAAAAGTCAATGGTACGTAAGGCATCTTAATCGGTGGTGCTTGGTCAGATGACATTAAACTTGGTAATTGAAATTAAACTTGCGCCTTAGTTCTATTGATGGATACTCCTAATTATGTTAGCTCATATACTCTGTTGAAATTTACAGAATATAAATCACATACGTAGTATCATTCTTTCAAAAGGAGATGATAATAACTTTAGGAAGGTCCACAGAGAAAATCTGAAGGCCATTTCGAGCAGTATAGATATTTGTTACATTTTTGCAAAAAGAAAGCCCAACTTTGTAACTTGATTGACTCCTAACCTAAGGGCCACCACCTACGGTTCTCACCTTTGATTAGAAATTGCTACTTCCACTTCAGCCTCACTGTTTAAGCAAAAATTGTAATCATGAATTTTACAAATGTTTTTCCTTCCAAGATGTTCAACATATTACACTCACCTAATTCCTTGCGGTAATTGAGATTCATTGGTTGTATGTATCCTCACAGAACTTCATTCTTGTTTTGTCATTCAACTTATCCAGAATTCTCCATGTCACAGCATCAGGGGTAAGCCCATTCTTTCTCATTTCTCCCACAATTTGATACACTTCTGCCTTCAACCCCAACTGAGAAGCACCATGAATGACAATGTTATAATTCACAAGAGACAACGAAACCCCAGAATCCATCAATTCGTATAAGAAATGACAAGCTTCCTCCACTCTTCCAGACCGGCAAAGCCCTTTAAGAATTGCAGAATAAACATATTCATCATGAACTCCGGATGGCCAAACAATGGCATCCCAGAAGCTTTTTGCTTCATCAATCCGCCCCGAATCGAACAACCCGTCAATTACAATTGTGTGAGTTATAGGATTGGCAGACATTCCAGAGCTATTAAAGATCTCCATTGCTTCATCAACCCGGTTCATCTTGAAGAAACCGCGAAGAACAGCATTGTAAGTCACAACACCTGGAGTGAAGCCGTTATTGGGCATTGTATAGCACAATAAATTAAGAGCTTCTTCATCCCTTCCAACTTCAAGCAAACCAGCAATGGCTGTCGTGTAGGTTGCTGCATCTGGGGAACAAAATTTCTTTCCACTCATCATATCATGAAGAACCTTCATAGCTTCTTCAACTCTTGCCATTTTGCATAGACCATTAACCACTGTGTTAAGGGATATGATATCAGGTCGGCATTGTGATTGAAGCATGGCCAGAAGTGTGTTTAACAGCTCAGTGGGATTACCGCTCAAACAGACTGATCTTAGATATATATTGTAGATCCTAGTTTTATCTGCAGATTTTTTGTTTAGCATGATCCTCAGGACGTGCTTTGCCTTGGGAAGATCCGATAGAGAACAAAGGCCGTCTATTAATATCTTGTAGGTGAACTCCGAGGGAGAGTATCCTAATTGGATCCCTTCGTCAAATAACTGATAAGCTCTGAAAAAATCACAGTCCTTACAGATTCCATGGACGATTGTGTTGTATGATACTAGGCTTGGCTTGGATCCTCTCTTTTTCATCATATAAACTATTCTTGCAGCCCCATTGTACCTTTTGTATCTACAAAGTGAATCAATCATTTGCCCGTAAGCAAACTCTTCAACTACACTCTTTCCTTGAGGCATATCTTCTGCAATATTGAAGACTTCATGGAACAGACCTTCTCTGCACAAGCAATCAATCACATTTGCAAATGCAGCAGTGTTGACGTGGATATCCTCCTCGATGGCCATTACCTTCCATAGATTTCCAATTAACGCTTTTCCCTCCTCAACCTCCCGATTTCTAAGGACCCCCTGGATTAACGTGCTGTAGGTGAGCGGATTTGGTTGACTCACTCTCTGGCTAGACATCTCATAAAACAGATTCCAGGCGGAACAGATTTCCCCAACTCTGCAATAACCTTTTATCAGAGTTGTGTACGAAACAACGTTTGGACAGTGTCCCCTGTTTCGCATTTCAACAAACAGCTTGTGGGCATCCCTAGGCCTGGATAAAGTGCAAAACTGATCGATCAGCCGGTTGTAGTTCATCAAAGAAGGCACGAATTCAGGCTTTCCCCGCAACAAAGCGCGAATTACATGAAGGGTTGATTCTGGGCTACGTGCATCCAGCAAGCGGGCAATGATGACATTACAGGTCCGCTCATCGAGCACTTGAGGATGTGCGGAGACGGCGAGAACAAACCTGGTGTGAGCTTCCAGGAATCGGCGGGCGTCGCACAGAGCATGAATAACGCTGCTGAGATTGAGAGAATCGGGGAAGAAGCCGTGGAGACGGAGATGATCGAGGATGCGTAGAGCTTCGTCGACATTGCGGTCGCAGGCGCAAAGCTTGTGGATTTTGCTGGTCCAGTAGGCTCTGTTTGTGACTGTGGTATGTTGATCAATCCCGACTTCCGGGCGATGTTCTTCTGTTTCTTTCAAATGGTTGGCTGTGCAGAGGTGGTGAGCTTCAAATCTGCCCGACAATGGCGGGCGGTGAAGAGAACGAACGTAGCCTATGGTGCATTGGATTGAGGATGTTGGTGATGCAAACTTACTCAAACGCATTTTAGTGTTTGTTTTGTTGCATCTATTATATTTATCCTTCACATTTTTGTTATTTCTATATTCTATAGGGAAAATGGAAACTAATAATCCAACCTTTTAGCGGTCTTCTTACAATAATCCAACCTTTTGGTTATTCATGAATAATCCAACCTTTGCACCTCATCTTCATTCACTGGTCCCTGACCGGTTGATGACCTGCTATTCCAAGTTATTTTCTTATCTTTGCAAATCATTATACCATAAATCTCATCTTTCACAAAGGTAATATTTTGCAAAGATAAGAAAATAACTTGGAATAGTAGATCATTAACCGACCAGGGACCAATGAATGAAGATGAGGTGCAAAGGTTGGATTATTCATGAATAATCAAAAGGTGGGATTATTGAAAGAAGACCGCTAAAAGGTTGGATTATTAGTTTCCATTTTCCCTATTCTATATACGGTAGAACTTTTGGGAGTTTTTGTAGATGTAAACTTTGCAAAATACCACGTAATAAGAAGACAAAGATTTTCCTTTCAAAAAAAAAAAGACAAAGATTTTAGGCTCGTTTGGTATGATGCAAAATTTGCATGTAAAGGAACTAAACATTTTACACTGTTTGTTTTAAATATATAAAGTAAATTGTAGGACACTTTTTTTAAAACATTTTACACTGTACCATGTAAAATATTTTACATGGGGGAAGATAGTAAATTATTTCACATCCGTTAATAAGGAGCGTAAAATATCAATTTACTATGTAAACCTAGGTTTTAGAAGACCGCAGTTCGGCGGCAAAGGAAAAATCTGATTCAATACTTGCAACGTGTAGGATGGCAATGAGGCGGGTTTGGGGCGAGGGTACACTCCCCCATCCCCTGCCTCATGTCTAAAAAGTTCCCCCATCCCCGCCCCATCCCCCGTTAGTCTCAGACCCGCCCCATCCCCGCCCCACCCCGTTGTCCCCACGGGTGCCAGCGGGTGCCCCCATATAGATTTTTTTTTTAATTTTTTTTAATTAGAATTGACTTGTATAAAAAAATTGGGTTGTGAACCAAAGTGAAAGAAAAATGGAGCACAGACCTAGGAGAAAGAAGGTGAAACTGTGAAAGTAGTTTAGATCGAGACTATGGATTAAACATTTCAATTGCTGCTTAAAGAATTAATGTTGCACTCTCGCAAAAAATCGTGATCGTAATCAATAAACCTTGACCAGTAATTTCGGAACTTTGGGATGCTGGACAGCTGGAGCTCTTTCAATATCCTTGAGACTTACATTGGGATCGTAGCCCATGCCCCATATAGGTTTAATTTTGTTGGGTATCATTTATTATTTCAAATAAATAAGTTATTATTATTTTAATGTACACACGGTTTGGTTTAAAATGATTTACTTGATGAATTTTTTTTTTATTACATTTAAATATGAAATCCACTTGGGACGTGGTGTGATTACTTGGACAGCTGGGAGAAATGATTTTCATGCAATTTTGTTATTATAATTTATTAATATTGTTTTTGAATAATTAATCCGGATAGCTTTTGAACTTTTCAAATCCGGATGTATTTTTATTTAAACTAACGTAGAACGTGCATGGCTTAACGTGCTTTTGTGTTGTCCGGGTAGTTCTCCTAAAATCATGGATCACCAAGCTTTCTAAACAACAAACCTTTTCTTTAGTTCTACGCACTAAGCATTTAAATGATCTGCTAGTGCTTGGGTTATAAATAGACAGGGTGCGTAATACAGATTAGTAACTGAGAGATACGCTTATACACTTTACAAAGCTTTATTATTATCATACGTAGCTGCGTATTAGTTTTTGCAGAAGCTTTAATACCCTTTTACTACGTATTAGTTAATAAACTGCTGGGTTATAAAAATTCTTTTCTCCTCGTAGTTTTTGTGTCCGGCGAATTAGCCGAAGAGCCCATTATATCTTGGGGGAAGATTTCCAGCCACCGGAAATACTTTCTTTAGGACAGCGACTAGCGCGTCTCGGGCTGTTTTATTTTTCTAACATTATTTTGCAGGTTCCGACGACGAATATATCTCCAACAATCTAAAGAAAGTATTACTATGGCGTTGCCGACGTTCTTACCCAATCCATGCCGGCCAAAGACAACTCACCCGAAGGCATCAAGCTCCTTCAACAGTGGACCCACGCAAACAAGGTTTGCCGTCATACAATTCTTAGCACTTTATCTAATGAATTGTTTGATGTTTATTGCACGAAAAAAGAAGCGAAGGAAATTTGGAGTTCTATGATAGCCAAGTACACGGCTGAGGACACCGTCAAGCAGAAATTTGTAATAGGAAACTATTACAAGTGGGAGATGAAGGAAGACAGAGACATCAAGGCGCAAATTCACGAGTACCAGACGCTGTTGGAGGACCTTCAGAGCATCCAGATAGAGCTGCCGGAGCCATTCGTTGCCGGGATTCTCATTGAAAAGTTGCCGGAGTCCTGGAGAGACTATAGACGAGACCTCAAACACGACTTTGGGCTTATGTCTTTCAATGATGTGATTACCCACATCATCATTGAAGACACAAACCGGAAGGAAAATGTCAAGAGTCAAGCAAAGGAATATACATCAAATGCAAACTTGGTGGAGACGGAGGACAAAGGGAGGTATGGAAATAATCATTCTAATAATAAGCCCAATTTCAATAAATATAAACAAACCACAAATTTTAAAAGAAAGGGTGAATGTTATGTTTGTGCGAAACCGGGGCACATTGCTAGTAAATGTCGAAAAAGGGCGTTTGTGAACAACAAAAAACCACCCAAACCAAGTGCAAACTTGGTTGAGGGTGATGAAATTATAACGGTGGTTGTCTCACAAACGTGCCTGGTGGCGGATGTGAAGGAGTGGGTTGTAGACTCAGGAGCTACTAGGCATATTTGCCAAGACAAAAGTGTGTTTTCCTCCTATACATCAATAGGGGATGAAGAGGAGTACGTACATCTTGGGGATTCTAGAACTACCCAGGTGCACGGAAAGGGCAAAGTTAATATCAAACTCACATCCGGCAAGACATTATCACTCACCGATGTACTTCATGTGCCCGAGATACGGACGAATTTAATCTCTGTTTCACTCTTGGGAAGAGCCGGTGTCAAGGCATCCTTTGAATCCGACAAGGTGGTTCTCACTAAGAATAATATATTTATTGGAAGAGGTTATTGTAATCAAGGGCTTTTCATGTTGAATGTGTCAGAAGTGTTGAAGTAATTTGTTTTCTAGTTATTGATAAATAAGTCGTGAGCTACATTTGTTTACTATTTTATTTGCTAAATAAGTGTTGTAAGCATCTTTATGATATTACCACGTATGAATTTTAGTTTGAATAAAATCAGATTTTTAATGGCCTGTGATAGAATTTTATTCATTCATTTACATATGGTAGCAATTTTTTTTAATGTATTAATAATGTACGGTATATTTTGAGTCCTTCGATGTCAAATTTTGTAATATGTGTTGTATCATTATGGTTTACTTGTAATGTATGAGTATTATGGTGCATGCATGTTGTGTAATACGGTTTTACTAGCATTCGGAAATGCACGGAGAATTTTTTGAGAATTAAATGTTGTGCCATTCTTTGAATATTATACATGCATGGTACATACGTATATTTATTCTGCCTTTGAAAGGAATCTTGGATGACCACATCCATATTTTTATTTATGTATTCGGCATGAAATAGCAATTTTGATGTGATATACTGAAAGTTTGTTGCGAATTCAAATTTGTAATGTTTAGATCAATTTCTCAAGCATGCTATCCGCACTTGTCGTCTACGGTAATTTGATTTATATACTTTTGAAGTGTTTTGTTGCATGTATCCTCCTGTTCAGTTTCAAAAGTATATACCTTATCGTTTTGGAATGGTTTTTTTTCACTGATTAAAATTTTCAGAAATGTGGGGTACTTGATTATTTTCAGTTTTGCTCCAAATAGTGCTGCGTAAGTTTCTTCTGTGATTTAATATTAGATTAGGTGGCATCTGTCATCTGTGGGATGGATATGCAAGCAAATATTTATAAAATTAATTTGCATGTATGTGGTGGATAACGGAAAATAGCGTGTGCAATTATTTATGCGTGCTATTACCAGGTTGATAGTTTTGTAAATATTTCGGTGGAATATAAGACAACAATATTTTAGTCTTATATTGATGATGCTCAAATGGTGAATTTGTTAAAACGAACAAATTATATATGTGATACCCGACTTAATGTCGGAAGATTGAGCAAAATATAGAAACACAAAAGTGTATTTGGTGAGCTAACCCATTGTATTAAAGTAATACAATGATGATATAATTTTTAGATGATATTGTTGTACAGTCGACTACAACGATATCATATGAAATATATGAAATATAAAGTTGTCATATAATTGTGACAAGTGGAGTAAATAGTCTCCTTTGGCCAAAATCCTAGGATATTATATTTTATCCACCGAGGGAAATGGACTGTCACTTGTTAACAAATAGGGATGGTAACCCAACCTGTGTGATTGGAGATCCCATGAAGCAGGTTCATATGGGTAATAACAAGTCTTCTATTTGTTCCTGCTAGCCTATTATGTCCATTTCTAGGGTGAGGCTAGACTGCATTCGCTGTGAGGCTGAGCTAAAACTCTTAATGATTTTCATAGCCTTATGGCTGGTGTGTTAAGTGCAGAACACACTTGATGAGGTCACCTATATGAGTGTGAGGTGGGGCCGCCTCCATGAAGCATGACAACGCTTCTAGAGCACTCAAGAATACCAAGCACGCGCACGGCCTAAAGGCGCACCACGGCGTTAACGCGAGGAATTGTGGGGGTGAGACATGGCCATTAAGACCCTGACTTACCATAGTAGCTTACTGGTTCATAGAAACTATATGTTTCACCAGAAGCTCGGTTTGTAAAGACTTAATCGTCTCGGTTTGGTTCATAGTCTTCGGACACCAGACTTAAAGTCTCGTTCCCGTTAATCCAGCAGATTTTCAAAATTATTTTAACCTCAAATATTTATTTGAAATATGTGGGGGATTGTTGGGTATCATTTATTATTTCAAATAAATAAGTTATTATTATTTTAATGTACACACGGTTTGGTTTAAAATGATTTACTTGATGATTTTTTTTTTATTACATTTAAATATGAAATCCACTTGGGACGTGGTGTGATTACTCGGACAGATGGGAGAAATGATTTTCATGCAATTTTGTTATTATAATTTATTAATATTGTTTTTGAATAATTAATCCGGATAGCTTTTGAACTTTTCAAATCCGGATGTATTTTTATTTAAACTAACGTAGAACGTGCATGGCTTAACGTGCTTTTGTGTTGTCCGGGTAGTTCTCCTAAAATCATGGATCACCAAGCTTTCTAAACAACAAACCTTTTCTTTAGTTCTACGCACTAAGCATTTAAATGATCTGCTAGTGCTTGGGTTATAAATAGACAGGGTGCGTAATACAGATTAGTAACTGAGAGATACGCTTATACACTTTACAAAGCTTTATTATTATCATACGTAGCTGCGTATTAGTTTTTGCAGAAGCTTTAATACCCTTTTACTACGTATTAGTTAATAAACTGCTGGGTTATAAAAATTCTTTTCTCCTCGTAGTTTTTGTGTCCGGCGAATTAGCCGAAGAGCCCATTATATCTTGGGGGAAGATTTCCAGCCACCGGAAATACTTTCTTTAGGACAGCGACTAGCGAGTCTCGGGCTGTTTTATTTTTCTAACATTATTTTGCAGGTTCCGACGACGAATATATCTCCAACAAATTTATCATATTTGCATATACTTTTAATCCATTATAAAAAATATATGGTGCAGTTCCAGTGAGAATGATGCTTAATGTGAGAACGTGAGAATACTCACATTTAATCCAATGTGATACACAATAGAACCCTTCTAGTGCACATATTGACTTTGCTCAATACAAGCTAATATAAATAATCACGGTGACACTTTTATAAATATTATGTTTGATACGAAAAATTGCATTGTGCGAGCTTCATTGTGCGTCACATTGGGGGTAAATGTGGTGTTCCCACGTTCTCACGTTAAGCATTGTTCTAATTTGATCATAAATCTATATATATCTACACACACAAACACACACACGCATACATATATGCAACACTGAAGTATTGTGTTTGTTAAAAGTTAACACCGCCGATTTTAATAATTTTTCAATTTGAATGAGTTTTGTGAATTGAAGACGGTTAAAGTAAAAATATAAGTAAACATATTATCATCATGTACGTCGTTCCAAAATTTTCAACAATTATAATACAATTAATTACATGTTACATATAAATGTAGGTGTGTTTATTTACTCACTTTCGCTCTCTTAAAACTCATACGGACTATAATATTTATGATAAATATTTTTAATCATTACTAGCTTATTATTATTCTAGTATAATATGTATTAATTCACTAACCATGACTAAAAGGTATACAATTATGTATGTCTATACGTATATGTATATGTATATGCATTTGTTATATACAACATATAATTTAATTTAATATGTTTGAGTATATATTTATAATGGGGGGCAGGAGGGGACGGGGCGTGTGTAGCAATTCCCGTCCCCCGCCCCATATTTTAATGGGGTAAAAATATCTCACTCATCCCCGCCCCCGCCCCCGCCCCCGCCCCACTCCAAGGCCCAAGCCCCGCCCCATCCTTCCCCCACGGGGCGGTTCCCCACGGGTCCCCGCCCTCATTGCCATCCTTAACAACGTGTGTACAGATGAGCAATCCTTAAACACTCCTTTGAATAAAAAAAGCTTAATTTTTTGTATATTGTTATGTACAGCTAAGCCAATGCCAATTTTGACTCGTGGGCCTGAGCTATGTAGTTACTCTATGACACTGTAAAGAGTTTGCGTGTAATATAAATAGATTATGTATTTTATTTTACATGCAAACTATTTTACAGCCCTAAACTTTACATGCAATCACTTTGCATGTTAAGTTTTAATATGTAAACTACCAAACGGGCCCTTAGGCTAAATGATCAGCTAGGCCTGTAAGTTCAATTCAGTTCTTGAACTAAAAAAGGTCAAATTCACACCCCAAACTGGTAAAAAAGGTTCAAATTTCATTTTTTAAAGTTAAAAAGCCGGTTAAGTAGGTCCAATTCACACCTCTAAACTATTAAAAAGTGTCAAAATTGAAATAAATCAAAAATAAAAAACAGAAACAATTAAAAAATTTAAAAAATGACCGGTTGTTTACCCTTAAAGACAGATATTTGAGCCATTATTTGTCTGTTCGGGGTATAAATTGAACGTTTTTTAGGCCAGAGATTGAATTGTGCTTACACGACCGGTATATGGGCCTATTTGACCATTTAGCCAAAAAATTATACTCTTTAGTTCAGTGTAAATTAAGTTTGAAATGTAACATATAGAATGCGGAATATTTTATAAGATGGTGATAAACTAATTTGCATGACTTTTAAAAAGCATTACAATTGTAATGATTCTGTGTGTAATTTGAAAAAAGTTAAATGCCTAACTAAATACGAGTATATTGTTTTATTTATTTTACATACAAATCGATTACTTCTATAATCTTTGCATACAATTATGACAGAGATAGCTTCACATGAAATATATTGAATAAGAGTTGATTTTTTTGGGGATCTAACAATTAAAGCTCATGAAGAAAGGATGCTGGGGTTTGGAAGTGTGTTGTGTACATGATGAAATTGTACTTTTGACCCAGGCAGAATGGAAAGCTTTGGATACTCATGACTCTTCAAGTAAGCCCTCAAGTGGAAGAGGGAGTAATAGGGGAGAAAGATGTAGAGGACGTGGAAGAGGATCTGGCAGCCATCAAAGAAATGAAAGAGAACCATCCCAATAAAAGAGAAAATTTGATAAGTCAAAGATAGTTTGCTATAAATGTGGGAAGTTGGGGCACTTTGCATCAGAATGTTTGATAAATGAGAAGGACGAGGAAGCCAGTCTCACACTGACTTAAGGCCATGAAGAACCAACTTTATTGATGATTGAAACCTGTGAACTGAATAACACACTTATTGTATCTGGTAAAGAAGAAGTTTTGGCAGTTAGTGAATAACACACATGAAGGAGAAAGACTGGTATCTAGACACTGGGGCTAGCAATCACATGACAGAACAAAGAGAGTGCTTTACTGATATTGATTACTCTATAAATGAAAGGTACGTTTTGGAGATGGTTTTGTCATTAATATACATGGACTAGGTTCAATGTAATAGTGTAGATTTTATATTTATTTATTATTGGGGACTCATATTGTAATTTGGACATTTATTCTCTTTATATATATCTGTCAGGGCTACCATTATGGTTAAGCCTGATCATTATTTTCACATGGTATCAAGAGCCAGAACCTAATTACCCTAAAAACCATTTTTTTTCGGCCATGTCCTCTGCCGATACTTCTTCCGCCGCAACAGGCTCTTCCGCCGCCGGCCATGCTCCTTCTTCCTTTTTTACTGCGCCAGTAATGTCGACTACTGTAGCTGCATCTGTTGGACCCACTTTTTCTGCTGCTGAGTCATCCACGTCTGCTTCTCGTTTCTCTTCACCGGTGATATCCCAAATCTCGGATCTGCCGCCGCCATCCACCGTTCTTCCTGCTTCGGATGGTGTTGGGTGGGTACCACCGGTTTTCAATTGGTCTTCAACCCAGCCGACGGTTTACTCGTCGCTATACACTTCTCAGGCGGCTTGTACGCAGGCCACCCCCCTTTTCTCAAGCTTTGGTGGAGTGCCTTCTGTTGAACAATCTGGATCCAGCTTTGGTGGGCCAACTTTTGCAGGTGCTCCAGGAGTAGCACCACTGCCTTCCAGTATTTCACTAGGCCCCATTGGCACACGGGCAGCTGCTACACATTCTCCAGGTTCTCTTTATCTGAATTGGTTAAAACTATTGGTTTTTCGGCACTCAATATTACAAATATTGTTACGACGAAGCTTGCCACTGTCGAAGATTATTTAACTTGGAGAACTCAATTTGAGTCATTCTTGGTGTCCAATGGTTTTTTGGGAATTTTAGATGGTTCCATTCCTGCTCCCTCCCCCTATATTTTTGATGCGTATCATCAAGAGACAATTAATCCTGAGTATTATAATTGGCTCAAATTGGATCAAACTGTACGTTCTTGGTTATTTGCTACATTGTCTCGTGATGTCTTAATTGAGGTGCGTGAACTAAAAAATGCTTTTGCTATCTGGAATCGCTTAGAGTCTCATTTTATGTCTGCTAGTTTCGCTCGTTCCATGGAACTGAAACGTCAACTTACACACTCTAAGAAGCGTTCAACTCAGTCCATGGAACACTATCTTCGTGACATTAAGGACATTGCTGACCGCCTTGCTGCTATTAATGCTCCAGTATCTCGTAGAGAATTATTTCAGTATATTTTGCTTGGTCTTGGTCGCGATTATGAGTCTCTTATCACATCGGTGGACCTCTTTCCGGATAGTTTTACCTTTGAAAATCTTCGAACTAAATTGGTTGAAAAGGAGCAAAGTCTGCAATATATGAATGCTCAGGAGGAGTTAAATCCGGCACAAGCCTTCGCGGGTCAGTTACAACCCGGAGGACAGCACCCACATGGCGGTGGCCAGCCGCAGCAGGGTGCTCAACAGCAGCCCGCAGGTGGACAACAACATCCGGCTGGAGGGCAGGCTCCTCGCGGCAGGGGCAATCGCGGCGAACGTGGTGGCCGCGGTCAGCGCGGTCGTGGAGGTCGTGGTCAGCGCGGACGCGGTGGTCATGGTTACGGTTATCCTCCACAGTTTGGTTATGGTTATCCTCCACCGGGCTATTTTCCAGGGGGTGCACCGCATGCTGGTATTCTTGGGGCTCCAGGCTCAGCGGGTATGACTATTCAGTCAAATTTTTATACTCATGCCTTATCTACTTTTTCTACTAACCATGGCTATGCAGGTTCCTCTTCAGCTGAGGGAAATTCCGTTCCTCCTCCTGTTATTTGTCAAATTTGCTATGCACCAGGTCATCCTGCTTCCACGTTGTGATACCTTGAAAATTTGAAATAAAAATAAATAAATAAATCAGATAAGTTATATCTGATAAATCAAATGAAAGTAAGATCAAAATATTTTTTTTATACTTGGTGTATAAAAATATACGCACACTACATGCAATGAAAATTAAACACTTATGTGGCATCGGAAAAAAATAAAATAAAATAAATAAAAATAAAAATAAATCAGATAAAATATATCTGACAAGGTAAATAAAAATAAATATCAAAGTATTATAAGTGACATTTTGTAACATGTAATAATATACATATACACATAAAATGTAACTTGTGGATGACAATCATACACATAGGTGTTCACAATAATACAAATAGAGGTAATAATATATGCAATGAACTTGCGGACTAGACTTAGAATGCATTAGAACAACCAACATTTACACATGCATGTTCATAATACTATGTATAATAATATTGAATAATAATGAAGAAATAATTCAAACCAATCACTCCATGTATGATTCAGCCTAGAATGATCGATCTACAGCTATAAATACAGCTTCCTTCCCATTCTAAATCACCACAAAGTGAAGAAAACGAGTAGAGAATATATATATATACTTACTCGCCGGAAAAATACACATATATAAATTTACGTAAGAAATTGCCTATAAACAAGAGAGGAGGGTCGTGAGAGGTCTAGGAATATTTCCCAATAAATTACAGACCGATTCGTAGTCACCGGAGCATCCTAGAGGTCGCCGGAGTTGCAAGCCAAGGAAATGGGTCTTCAGCAAGTGCGGAAATTTGGCCGTAGATAGGGGTGGCGGAGCTTCTCCTCGACGTCAGGATCATTTTGCAACTTGAATCGTTTAAATCCGTTACCTGTAAGTAAAGTTATCGCTCGCCGAAGTTTTCGGGATTCCGGTCGCCGGAATCGCGACCTGGAGAAGCTGGGAAGGAGACAACCCAGTCTTCTTGGGCCGGGTCGCGAATTTGGGCCGGTTCGGCCCATTTTCAATAAAAATTAAAAATAAAATAGTAAATGAAATAAATAAAATCTGTAAAAATATAAATTAAATACCTGGTTTAAAAATACATATTCAGACCAAGAATAATTGAAAAATAATATTTGTAGCTATTTTTAATTGATTTAATTGTAATTGGGCCAATTTGTACATATTTAGTAAATAATTAACTAAATAACGAAATAAATTATGAAATAAATATTGGAGCAAGCTATATTAAATATATGACTAACTAGGACATTTGGGACCATTTATAATTAATAAAAATTATAATTAGCATATTTAATTGTAATTAAACCGGTTAATAGATATATGAAATTAAGTGAATAAATAAAGGAAATAATTCTAAAATAAATATCTGGACAACCTAGGTCAAGTATAGACCCAAACTATAGTTATGTATGATTAGTAATTTATAAAAGTGATGATGAAGTTATTTAATTTAATTGAGCCATATAAACTAGTTAAGTAATTAAATAAGGAAATTTTGATATTAATGGTGAAATAAATAAATCACTAAGATTGAAAATAATGTTCTGGACTAAAAATTATGTTTGTAGTAAAATAAGGAAAAGAAAATAAAGTTGGGTTATCTAGTATAAATGAATCACTATATTTGGATTTAATAAATAAATTATTGAATTAGTGGACTAATTAATTAGTGTGATTAAATTAATAATTATTATCCTTGATTATTAGTGATTTGGACTCCATATAAATTATTAAACTATTCGAACTCATAAGAAATTAGTTGATTAATATAAACCAATTAATTAAGTAATTAATAATTTAGTTAATTGACTTCATTGGACTAGTTTAACTAAATCAATTAGCTTAATGGATAAATTAGTTAAATTATAAATGTGGTAATATTTTTGGACTTTATATTAAAAATAGAAAATTAAAGCGAGATTAGAATTTGAGTATTGGCCTTAATTGAATTAGATTAATGTATTTAGCTATATTGATATAATTAAACTTATTTATTTGATTTAGTTAGTTCAATTAAATTAGTGAGTCAAATAAATAAAACTGGAGGATTGGATAAATTAATTTAATTGGGTTAGTTAGTATAAATAAACTATTGAACTAATTAAAGTTGTTATTGAGATTAGATTATCATTAATGATTATTATTTCGAATTATTGCCTAAGTCAAGTTATTATTAAAAGGGTTATTAAATAAATTATATAAATTATGTAAACTGAATTTTGAACTGAAATTGATTATTTAAATTCGAAATAATGAAATTATTATGTAGTTAATATAATTGGACTAGTTAACTATTTAACCAAACAAATTAAGAAAAACCGAGTTGGGTTATTATAATTAAAGAAAATAATAAGAATGAACTGGAAATAAACAGTTAGTAAGATTTATTAATTTAATATTTATATTTAAAGAAGGAATTATGACGTTAAAGTAATTAAAGGTTGGATATAAAAGAAATAACGAAATAATAGAATAGTTATTGATTCAGAATTTTGATCAATATTAGAAGGAGAATTCAAGTGAAGATCAAGCTAGAGATTTTATTAAGGAGATTATCACAATTTAAGGTAAGTTCTATGTCAACCAAAATGTTTTGCCTCGTACTTAATTATATGTATGCAATATTTGCACTATGTGAATTATTTATGAATTGGAAATTATATGTTTGACATGGATCGAATATTTTGACTATATGAATATTGGTGGATTATTACCTTTTATGGATGATTAAATGTATATTCTTTTTATTAAAGAATATTGGTGGATTTACATTTATTACAAAGGATATTTTGAGAAAATGTGACAAGAATGATTTGGGGAAAACTTAAAGTTTTCATAATATATATTCTTACATCTCGAGAGAAACACGAGGCGTGGGTGGTTAGGGCTACTACTACTTTTGGTGAAATTTATTTGGGTCGGTAACCAGTCCGGCAAAGACATACTCCGGTAGACATCCCGGGCTTTTATTTGAGGATCAAAGATCCTTTGGTGGTCGTAGTAGTAGTTACCTAATTTACCCTTGGACAATGTCCCTTGTGAGTAGGTGGTAGAAAACATCCTGCCTACTTGGGTTTCTTACTACTCGGAGGGCTTGGAATCCCTTTTAGAGGGTGTGCACACTTAAGGTAGAAATTCAGCTTCCAATTGGTGGTCGGTGGGAGCCGGAATTCCGGGATGAGTCGTAGATAACAACGACTCATTGGGCTCGAGGAATCTTGAGTTTCGCCCACTCTTAAAAGAATCTAAAGTATTACTTTTGGAAGAATTGAAGGATGATCTTATCTATTGTGGAAATTATTTTATGACATTAAACCATTTTGAAAATATGAGAGACTACTTTTCAATATATATACATATACAAAAACCTATTTTCCAAATTATATTATTTTACGGGTTCGGGTGGAATCTTACTTAGCTCTAAAGCTAATTTTTGTCTCTTTTCTCTTTTTCTCTTTGCTCTATTGTACAGATGATTATGATTATGAAGATTGATGTACTTGCTGCCCGAGTGTTCCGCTAGTTGCACACGTTTGATTAATTATTGTTGTTTAAATTTGTAATCCATAAACTTTGTTTAAGTTTTATCTGATGACTACTTGAATTAATGGTGGATAGCCTGTGCACTCAATCATGTATAGGTTGAGTGTGGCGGTGACACACCTGTTTTTCCATCAAAGACTTCCGCTGTACTCTAAATATGTTTTATAATAAAGATGTTTTCATTTCAAAATGTTATTTTATTTTGGTGGGAAAAATGGGGGTGTTACACACGTGTTCTTCTCGTTTCGTTCAGCCGGCTGCACCTGCTTTTGCTGCTCAGGCTCCTGATGTTTCTGAGATGGTTTGGTATCCTGATTCAGGTGCCTCAGCGCATATGACTCCTCATTAAGGTATTTTGACTAATAAATCATTTTCTCCCAATTCTCATTCTATAATTGTAGCAAATGGTACAACACTCCCGGTTATGCATTCTGGTCAGATCTCATTATCTTCGTCTGCCAGACCTCTTCACTTAAAATCTGTTTTGCATGTACCTCACATTAAATATAATCTTTTGTCCATTCAAAAATTGTGTGCTGATAACAACTGTGCTGTGATTTTTGATAAAAATAATTTTTTTGTAAAGGATTTAACAACGGGGGTGGTCCTTCTTCGAGCTCTCAGTGATAACGGCGTTTATCCCATTCGCCAGCCTGCACCGTCGTCTGTTGCTCTATCTGCTGCGTCTCTTTCCGTTTGGCATAATAGATTAGGCCATTGTGGTTCTCGTGTGTTAGATCAGCTTAGATTGAACAATTTTATTTCTGGTACTTCTGCTAATATTTCTGATTGTATTCCGTGTCGTTTGGGAAAATCGCAACGGTTACCATTTAATAAAGTTTTTCATAATTGTCCTTGTCCCTTATATTTAATTCATTCTGATGTTTGGCAGTCTCCTGTGCTGTCTCATTTAGGCTTTAAATATTATGTGTGTTTTGTAGATGATTTTTCTCGTTTTACTTAGGTCTATCCCATGCGGCGTAAGTCTGAGGTTACTACTCATTTTCATCATTTTAAATTAATGATTGAAAATTTACTTGACCGCAAAATCAAGATTTTTCAGAGTGATGGAGGGGGTGAGTTTGACAACTATAGTATGCGTAAAATTTTTACTGAACATGGCATTATTTTTCAAAAATCATGTCCTGAGACTCCACAACAAAATGGCGTTGCTGAGCGTAAGCATCGACATTTACTTGAATTGGCTCGCACTATGCTTATCACTGCTAGTTTGCCTGCTCCCTTTTGGGTAGATGCCGTACTTACTGCTACTTTTATAATTAATAGAATACCCTCTCCTACTCTACATGGTTTGTCTCCTTTTGAAAAACTTTTTCATATTCCACCTGACTTATCGTTTCTTCGTGTTTTTGGTTGTGCTTGCTTTCCCAATTTTTCTGCATCATCTGCTAACAAATTACACCCGCGGTCTGTTATGTGTATTTTCGTGGGATATGCGTCTGAATATAAAGGGTACCGTTGTTTTGATCCTACATCTACTCGTGTTTATATTAGCAGAAATGTTCGTTTTTTAGAAAATATTTTTCCTTATTCTGGTCTAGCTCGTCCTGCTGTGTCCTCTTCTATTATGCCTTCGTCTGCCTCCCTGATTTA